GGGGGGGGGCATGTAAAACTGGCCCCAGGCAGTAAAATTTCAAGTTGATATGAAAAATAACACATTGAATTAAAGGTAAATGAACAATTAATTTCTAAAATTTATCTTAAAATTTTCAAATGATCTAAAATTGAAAAATAAACTCATTTTTCTCTAATATGCAAATCTTCTTGCTTCAATCTTACTAAAAAGGGAAGGCCAGAAGTGACGTATAATATTAAGTGCAAGTTCTTCAAATTTTTGGGAAATTTGAACAAGCTATCTGACATACTTATTTGCCCCTTCATATACAGCACAGAGAGCAAGCAGAAAAATTCTTTCAGTATTATTTTTCGGGTAATATGAAATGATGTATTTTGGCATTTCTGTTAGTTATAAATATGGTGGCATTTGGTTGACTTTTCTTGCAAAAATTTACTTAAAATGCATCTTTATATGTAATTTTAAATCTAAGACGCAGAATCTACTATGATTTCATAGGGCCGATTTGCAGCTCCCCGAAAGTTGACTACCGCCGACGGCACTGTCATAGATAAGGGTTATTGGAGTGGCTCACCGGTATTCAAGGACATGAACGGAGACGGCCTAAAAGATCTGCTTCTTTCTGAATGGGCTGGTGACCTCGCCCCCATCTCTCTTTTCATCAACACTGGGACATCAAAACAACCTACGTTTTCTGCCCCTAAAGTTTTAATTAACAATAACGCTGGTGGTGAACGTTTTGATGCAGCTGATTGGAACAACGACGGCCTGAATGATCTGGTGGTTGGGCCCTACCTGCAGCCGTTTGCCTACTACCCAAATGAAGGTACAGCCTCAAGTCCCATTTTCAGCAGTTCAGCTACAAACATCCAGGATGGTTACACCACAATTCCTCAACACTATCCTCGAGTTGTTGATTGGAGGGGTGACGGGAAAAAATATATTTTGTACAGCGGTTATTTTCCGAGCAACGGCGTCCATATTTGGACAAAAGATCCAAAAACAGGAAAAGAAGAAGATGCCGTTCTGTTAGGCATTGGCACAAATTGGGAACAAATTATGAACAAAGTTGGGTACAGACTTTCATCCAACATGGCTGATTTCAACGGTGATGGTCTAACTGACTTACTTATTTCTGGTAAATTGGCCAAACTCGTTATATTTTGGGGAAAAGACATAAACCAGGTGACCCAGCACCACGTTGATGGAATTGTCGCCACACTGAGCCAGCACAGCACAGACCTTGGATCAGTGATGGAGAGCAATGATCAGGTATGTGAGAAGTTGCAATTACACCAGGATGCTTTGTTGAAGATCGCCAACTTGCCTATGCCAGAGTCGTTCAAGGAATATCTTTTCAACACACTCGCAGCTCTGGTGCAAAAATACCCACAATACTTGAGTAGACAACGTTTTTCTTCCACATACCTAGCCCATTTCTCCTTCTATACCTGGATAATAATGTTGGAAGGAAGGGACGACACGAGAAGTAATCGACTCGGGTTGGCTGAAGTGAGTAATCACACAGGAAGTTTAAAGGACGTTCTTGTTGAGAGGGGAGTTATGTTGATAGACAATGACCAATCTTCAGAACTAGCCAATCGCCTGTTGAGAGATTATGTTTTGTCCCTGCGAACTGAATACTTCTGGATTGAGCGCATAAGTAAGCAATGTGCGCTAAGCGGTATTGACGGGAGAAGATATACCTACAGACAGGTGCGAAAGGGGGGAGTAAACGTATTCTGTAACGATGAGCACAGCTCGACGAGAAAACACATCTTACCTGGTTGTAAGGTATGTAAAACGCATGGCAACCCGGTGGGAAACGGTCTTGTTTCTGTTGTCGCTCACGAAATTGGTCACAACTACGTACAATACCCTTGGGTGAATGTGAAGATGTTCTTGTTGATGAAAAGAGCCTTACAAGGTAGTCCAGATATTTTCTGGAAGGATAACAATCGCTACGACTCTAAGAAAACGCAGGAACATTTTGCAAGCAAAGGGTGGTTTAATCCCGGTTCCGATAATTGGAACTCGATTTTATATACCTATTTCAATGGACAGTTCATTCCTGAAGCTGCTCAGTACCAATATCAGATTATCACTAATGTCAGCCCAGACTACGTTGTGCTTACTCATCCCCAGGAATTCTTCGCTTCAATCTCCCAATGCTTCTCTATGGACTCCAAGATGCTGATGGACATTGCTGTCGAACGTTTTCTTAGTACGCCATCATACAAAGAGTCCATAAATCAAATTTTGTTCTTGGTTGAGTACTACTCTCTCGGTGGAAGCACTTCACGATTTTGGATGCATACCCATTCAGGTAACATATATTATTATGACGTTACCCTCGAGAGAAATGCCAAGGATCACATCGTCGCCGTGAGTGTCCCCAAAGATGTCGCGAGGAAAGTTGAAAACCCCAATGAAGCATATTTGGTGGATTTGCCGAGTCCACATATGTATCGGTTCCAGGTTGATGGCGATGGGTTTGTTACCGCCATTGAGGAAAACCCGGCATATATCAATCCATAGACTTTTAAGATAACAATACAATCAAAATTGATCTTTACGTCCATTTTTCTTTCCACTAGACTAGACGAGAAGCGAGTCTCTTTAATATATCCACTGTGGCATTAACCAGGCAATAATGTTTCTGAGAGAACAGTTTCATTAGCTCTGTATGTATTAATTTAAATTATTGTTTTTTTCTTTTTTATCAAGAGCTTATAAAATATGTGGGCATTACCTCCAATATTTCTGTGACTGTCAGTCACCATCATCAGGGAGTAAATGACTAGGGTCATTTCACCTGGAATGAGAATCCAGGTCAATTGCCTCTCATCACTGGCCTTGTGTTACTGTTACATCCTCCCCCCGGGGCTCCTCTGCATCCCTCTAGAGCACCGTGAGGTAGATAGCTGGTAGATCATATCCCCCTGTCTGTTCAGGTCTGGTTGTTGTCAATTACGACACAAGGCCAGTGATTAGGGGCAATTGACCTGGATTCTCAGGTAATACCCACATATATCATGAGCTTTTGATAAAAAGAAAAGCAATAATTTAAAAATAATGTTTCTGTAAACATGATCAAATTCAGAGTCAATAAATTTTTGAATGACATGCCTTGTTAAGCATGATTTACACTAAACAAGATGAATCTTTACAGAAAACGCATTTCACCACCGAGTTTATTTGTATAAAAATTTCAGGTCATTATAGATGCAATTTCTCCAATCACTGAATTGCAAACACCACAACTGCCATAAACAGTTTATATGTATATTTTATTACAGTATGTGTCTTATAGCTGGTCAAGATAGCTACAAAACAGCATTTTGAGCCTCAATGTTTTTAGATTCAATTATTTAAAACACTTGGATGGATGTATCTTAATAGTTTTTTAAATAAGCGCAATAAAATCAGGTTTACATTATGAAAATATTTACCATAAAAATGTATTTTACAAAGAAATTATGCACCCGTTGTCCTATTTTAACAAAATGCAACATATTTCTCAAATGAAAACAGTTTAAAAATATTTCTCGAACTCGTGGATTTAAACCCCCGCCCTCTATATTTTAAACCCCCTATATTTCATTTTATCCCCCCCCCCCCCCCCCGCTTACGTGAGTATCAGTCATAACCCAAATGGCCGTAGTTAATAATCGTATCCACAGTTTAATACTGAGACAAGCTAGTGATGTTTACCAAAAAGCTCTGCCGTTGTACAGAGCATGGAAATCGTAAGTCTTTGTACCTGAATCAGAAATTCACTTATGAAGAAACTCAAACTTAAGATCAACCATCAAAATCAGCAATTTGAACAACCGTGCTTTCTTTTTCAAATCTTGAATTTCAGACAGTTTTATCTACTAAATAAGTTCTCATAGAGAATATTCTACAAATTAAAGTACAAATGTGTCTATGACCAGTCCTAGCTGTAAACGCACTTTTTGTTTTATTTAAAGCTTGTAAATGTGGATAGTAAGTACGCATTTTTCTTTATCTGCTCTTTGTCCGAATACCTTGTTTCGCAGTCACTTCTGCAATGTTCAGAAAAATAACTTGAAGATGACAGCAATGATAAGTACCATGGCAACCAATAATTTCATCATCCCAGTGTCACGTCTGCTTTCGTCGCACTTGCGGGTGTTGAGTGGATAATAAACCCGGTCCATAGTGGTCAAAACTGCCTCGCGCGCTCCGGCCCACTGTCCAGGTCCACACAGACGGTACTGGCAAGGCGTGCAGGGACCAGTCAAGACCTCCAAGGCAAGACGGGGGTCGGTAAGAAACAGCTTTACTGAAATAAAGTGTCCGTGATGTTTAATATTCTTAACATTCCAGGTCACTTGTACTGAATGCTATACATAGGTAGGAAAATGTTGCAGAATTAAACTCGTTTTCTTCTTCCTTTTAACTACATGTATTTATTTTTGTTTAACATAATACACGTGGGCTCTTTAAAGGTATCACCAAAACACTGAAACTGTCAGGGCCAACCCTATAAACACAGACCTCGTAATGACTCCCCAACACAATTTTGTACTACAAAATGATCTCTGTCACCAAAACATTAGTAGTCTGCTAAGACACAACATATAGGGTCTCCCCTCCGTGTATAATGTCTGCTGAACTTTTCGAACACGGTCTTATCAAGTATATCTGACATAAAACTATACTAATATTACACTTACAAATATCTGGTTTGCATCCCACTTGGTCAGCAAGTTCGTCCATATACGGCACATAGTCAACTTGGATTGTGTGGCGCTGACTGGGTACGTACCGCTTAGCCATGGCATGGCGTTTCCGTAGGATATCTGTTTTCATGTCTTCTTTACTTGGCAACATACACAAACCCTGGGTAATTAACGGAAGTGATGTTTACTCTACATATTCCTGAGTGAAGTGTTTAAAGACTACATGCGTATGTTCCATTTATTGTGTGATTTTAGAAGTGGAACCATAAAAAAGACAAAGTAGACAAAATTGGTAAAATGTGAACTGTGTTTGTTATTTTAACAGGGCCATTTGTATAAAATAAGAAATAAGCATTTGATGTGCTAAGATGCTTTGATTGCTATATCAATTTTGTGTATTTCGTGGCAGAAAGGTCGATGCTGTCAAACCCTTAAGCTGGAGCGTGAAGGGCTGGTAAAGGAATACAGCATTTTTTCCCATTTGATGACAATTGTCTTTTTCTTTTTTAGTTATCACTTAATTTTCTCAAATGTTTCTTGAAAATGACAACTTACCTTGAACACTCTGGTAGCCCACCTGCACTGCAGTTCTGCAATGGGAAAGATGGCGCCAAGTGGCTGAATGTAGCCAATCACAGCCAAGGTCGGGTGGTCAGTGGTCAAAGGCCACATGTACTTGTAAAGGTCAGCCACGTTCTTCTCAACCTTTATTACTTTCTCGTCGATGAAAGGAAATCCAAAAATATAACCTGTGGCAAGAATGACAGCGTCTATATTGTCCTCCATTGTCCCATCCTCAAACTCGACCCCAGTCTTAGTGAAACGTCTAATGTTAGGCTTAACGACAACGCCTCCGCTAAGTATTCTGTTTGGAAGGTCATCGTTGACGGAAGGGTGAGCGCTCATTATTCGATGTTTTGGTTTGAGGCCATATTTTTCGTGGTCAAACCTTGCATTCACTTTACTTTCTATCATGGAACACCTGGAAGTTTTCAAAATTCGCTATTTTTATTTAGGTTTACTGATTTAAATTACATGATTTCTGTTTTAATGGAAAATGAAAGGATAACGTCAAAATGTCTTGTTTTTAATCATAGTTTAATGAAATGTTACAAAAGGTAACCTGTTTTAAGTCGCTGTTTTGTTTATCGATACTGTACATAAAGAGGACAAGAATTTGATACATATATTTTAATTTAATTAAAATTGGTACGTGCAACATGTTGAATGGAAGTAAACTGAAGATCATGCGTGTTAGTCGTCGGGAGGCGATCACATCACCGGGAAGACCGTTTTCGCCAACTCTGTTAAAAATCCATGTTCCGCGTCGTGTAGCCAAAAATACCTGAAAATATATCTCAAATATTTTGCAAATTCAAAAATATTTTGGCTTAAAGAGGACAAAGAGCACCACACACTGTCCAGGACTGCACAAGTAAGTTAACGTGATATAAATCTGAACAGATAGATATTTGAAATCTACCACAGTAAAATGTACCACTTCGGTTAAACGCAGTACTGCACCGTCTTCGTTTGCGGATATTATTAAGGAGCAAGAGGACGAAAAGTCGAGAGAAAGCAGACGGAGGGAGTGTAGCGTAGAACCTCTACATATAAGGTGATATGCCAGTGAAAGAACTAAAATTTCTGGGATTAAAGCAGCTGTGCAGTACTCGAAGTGCCTATATGAAAAAACTCTTCTGGAAATTTTTGTATATGTATAACCTTTATTGTAAGATATTCTATATCATATCCCGGGAATCTTTGACAAAAAAATTACTCATTTTGATACAGAAACATTTTTTTACTAAATGCAATATGGAGATATAATTATTTAGATATATCCAAATCTTTAAGCACAGCCTACGTCTACAACTTACTCTCTGACTTATTCTTCCCAGTTCTGAGGCCACGTCATTCCCCGAGTTACCGACTCCAACCACCACAACTCTCTTGTCCTCATAACCCTTGTGGTCTCTGTAAACTCATTTTGTAATTGGTTTGAATTTTATATCACTTAAATATGTCATATCTAAATTACATAAAATATATTATCTGTAGAAGAAAAAAGTCGATACCTAAATTCATGTATATACCGGTATCACAGCATGCATATACCTTCGATATTCGTTTTTTATAGTTTCAATCGTTTGTTTATTCAGATTTTATCAAAAGGCTGATTTAAAAAATACTTATCTATAGTTTTTTGTGCAAAATTAACATAGCATATAAGTTATCAAGATTAACTGATGTCACACGTATTTTATAACAGTACCTGTAATCGTGTGAATGAATGATTTTTCCCTGAAACTCTTCCTGTCCTGGAAAAGTGGGTTCATACTTTCTGGCATGGTGCCCTGTGCAGACCAGAACCGCATCAAACACGTAGGTGTGTTCCTGATCTTGACCTATATCTTTGACCTTCACCTCCCATTGGCCCGTTTCTTCAGAGCATGGCGCTTGTTTGATCAGGACTATCTCGTGTTGGAACTTGATATATTTGGTCAAGTCAAATTTGTCAACGAAGAGGCGGAAGTATTTCATAACGTATGTGTTATGCATGTAATTAGGGTACTCTTTTGGGATGGGGAAATCGCTCCAACACATCATCTCCTTGCTCGTATTGATAATAGTGGACTTCATTACGGTCGCCTGGCCATCTTCTTTACCCTCCGGTCTAGCATGAAACGATTTTGCAGGCTATTCATTGATGGTTTTGATGTTCAGGCACACTCAAGTTCAATATGAATTTTCAGCAAACATAGCCATATGCCTTCATTCTCTACTAGAACAATTAAGACCTGATTTCAAAAAGTATAAAGGTAGTTTTGGGGATATGGTTTTAGCCAGTTAAGAAATAGCTGTCGAAGTTGCATGTCACAAGGAGCCAAAAAGGCTGTTTAGCTCGGTCCTAAAACTAAATTATTTGAATAAATTGTGACTCTTGATACGTACCTGAAGTTCCAGAGACCTCCAATGTCCGCGGATCGCTCAAAGCACACGGGAGACAGGCCTTCGTCCAGGCAGCATTTAATAGCTACAAGGCCGCTGGAGCCAGCTCCTATTACTGCTACTTTCTTACCGGCCATGACTTAATTTTCAGTAACTCATCTAATCCGTGCGTCCTTGGCCTATATGTAGAGTTACAGGTAGATAAGAACATGGCCTACTTTTACGTGTATCCTTATCGCACCCAGGGAATACAAGGTTTTTTTAATATGCGATCGAAGCGAAGCAAATATTAAATAATCGACTACTTTTTCATAATATGTTGGATACAAGGATGGAAAACCACCTGGTTTCTGGGGAGGGGAGAGAAAAAAGGGGTACCACCAAAGCTAAAACCCCGTTTAAGTCACTTGGAAAACAAATGACTTTTGGCCTATTTTCATCACTGATCATATTCTCTGGGGTTGCCAGGTATTGTTCAAATGATTTCGATAGTCTCTCTATGTTTCTGCCGCTCTTTATTGATTGCTCTGGGGCTTGCAAGTGTATGGAGCTGTTCAAAACACACAGATGTCTTGCTTCCAGTGACCATCACAGGAAGGTATCATTATTATCATTATCATAAACAAGTCGCTCGACAAGCGGTAGTGTCTCCTAGCAGGGTAGAGCAAATCTCAATTTTTTCCATTACCTCAGCCAAGGAGGTTATTTCTGTCTGTCTGTCTGTCTGTTTGTTTGTTTGTTTGTTTGTCATCAACATAACTCAAAAAGTTATGGACCTATTTTGATGAAATTTTCAGGGTAGGTAGGTGGGAAATGGGTAAAACTTAGAAGTGATTAGTTTTTGGTGGTGATCCGGATCAATAATCAATCATTAATCAATAATCAAAAATTGCTGCCTTGGCGGAGGTCTGCGCTCTCTGAGTGCTTTTCTAGTTAACAGTGGTTTTCTCCGGATAAAATTAATGTTGAACACAAATCTCACAACTATTTAATTCTAAAACAATTATTTAGGTCCGTATATTCTAAAAGGCAGGCATAACGGCCTCCCTATACACAAAAAGTACTATAGTGTGCCATATGTCTTTTCTTATAAATGAGGAGTTTTGGAATCCATTTCACCGCTGTGATTGGTACAAATCAGTGTGAGTTCATTTACGTCGTGAGCTGACAATGTATTGTCAAGCTCGACTGAAGAGTCAGAATGGAGACAATGGAGACTATGAACCATCTTAATCATCTTGCTCAGTCAAAATGCGGAGTGATAAGATCTCTCAACATCCGCCAGATGGAATTATAAGGGAGAATCAATTACATGTACCCTAATAAAATGGGCCGTGACACTGATGATTTCGTGACTCAGCGAAAGGTGCGAAAATGGCTATTTTAGCCATGTTGTCAATATTTGATTCGCAATTACGCATTTTCACAGGCCACTTGAATACCAAAAATATATGGATCAACCAACAATATTACTTGCAATAAGATAATTGATTTTGAAAGTCATTTTATAGTCATAATTGAAACACAGTCTACTTTTCTATACTTTTGAGGTATATTTACTGTGTTGGTGGTGTTTGGGCGAACCAGAGGTGGGACACGTTATATGCATTACAAACCCCTGATTTAATATCTTATAATGCCTACATACGTGTACCAGTATCCTAATTTAATATCTTATAATGCCTACATACGTGTACCAGTATGCCGTACATCACTGTACATAGATAATACTCCAGATGCATGCGTATAAAGCTGGGGTATCCTCTATATACAATGATGTATTCGTATACATTTCCATGGGTATGACGCTGTATGCGTGGGGTACCTGGATTTTCCCTTAGTAGCTTTCGTCTTCGAAAATGAAAATGACATCCTAAGACCCTCATTGAACGGGGATTGCCTCCGTTTCTCTTTACACATTGTGACGTAAGCTTTTATCATACATATGCTTAAAGACTCACGTATTGTTTCATGTCCTTCAGATGACCCTAGATTACACGACCTAACCTTTCCAATTGCCTTATTTAGTCAAATATGGGCGATTTTAATTTTTTTGCTGATTAAAAGTTTCAGAAAATTGGTCAAATAAAAAAGTAAATGACATAAAAACAGTTATTCACATATTGTGCGTGTGTAGTTTTGATTGATAGATTGAAGCGGCAGATTTTGTCTTAAACGTACGTCAAACTTTTTTTTAATTAAATGTTTTATCCCAGCCTAACTGCCAGCCTTATACAGTAAAGTATATAACGAGGTTGCGCCTTGCGTTCACACGGTGTCTTCAGCCGTCCTCAGCCACAGTCCGCTGCGAGGCGCTCAGGTATGCCTGCGTCGTGCGCAATAAGGAGATGCTGGACGCACGACGTAAGCTACAAGGGTCTTCGCTCGGCCCGTGTCCGATCTCAGCTGTTGCCACTGGGGTCTAGATATTAACTAAATCTAGACCTCTATTTTCAACCAATTCTCTGCTTAACTTAAACAGTCCATCAATACGCAGCAGAGAGAGAGAGAGAGAGAGCACGTTCATTTCTGCTATCTGAACGACTTCTAAGTACATTATGCGACGCCAGATGGCTCCTGTTAGAAATTTGGCCCTTCATTGCATTGGGTGAGCCTTCTGAAGAGTGTGTTGTATCAAAAGAAAAATAAAGATATCGTCAGAGAAAATACAATAAAACATTGCAAATACTGTATTTACTAATACTGCTCAGAGATAACGTCAAAACTACGTTGCTTATATACATACAATAATCAATCAATAATCAATCATCAATCATCAACATAACTAAAAAAGTTATGGACCGATTTTGATGAAATTTTCAGAGTAGGTGGGAAATGGGTAAAACTTAGAAGTGATTAGTTTTTGGTGGTGATCCGGATCAATAATCAATCATTAATCAATAATCAAAAATTGCTGCCTTGGCGGTGGTCTGCGCTCTCTGAGTGCTTTTCTAGTTAACAGTGGTTTTCTCCGGATAAAATTAATGTTGAACACAAATCTCACAACTATTTAATTCTAAAACAATTATTTAGGTCCGTATATTCTAAAAGGCAGACATAACGGCCTCCCTATAGAGTTTCATCACACAAAAAGTGCTATAGTGTGCCATATGTCTTTTCTTATAAATGAGGAGTTTTGGAATCCATTTCACCGCTGTGATTTGTACAAATCAGTGTGAGTTCATTACGTCGTGAGCTGACAATTTATTGTCAAGCTCGACTGAAGAGTCAGAATGGAGACAATGGAGACTATGAATTATCTTAATCATCTTGCTCAGTCAAAATGCGGAGTGATAAGATCTCTCAACATCCGCCAGATGGAATTATAAGGGAGAATCAATTACACGTACCCTAATAAAATGGGCCGTGACACTGATGATTTCGTGACTCAGCGAAAGGTGCGAAAATGGCTATTTTAGCCATGTTGTCAATATTTGATTCGCAATTACGCATTTTCACAGGCCACTTGAATACCAAAAATATATGGATCAACCAACAATATTACTTGCAATAAGATAATTGATTTTGAAAGTCATTTTATAGTCATAATTGAAACACAGTCTACTTTTCTATACTTTTGAGGTATATTTACTGTGTTGGTGGTGTTTGGGCGAACCAGAGGTGGGACACGTTATATGCATTACAAACCCCTGATTTAATATCTTATAATGCCTACATACGTGTACCAGTATCCTAATTTAATATCTTATAATGCCTACATACGTGTACCAGTACGCCGTACATCACTGTATATAGATAATACTCCAGATGCATGCGTATAAAGCTGGGGTATCCTCTATATACAATGATGTATTCGTATACATTTCCATGGGTATGACGCTGTATGCGTGGGGTACCTGGATTTTCCCTTAGTAGCTTTCGTCTTCGAAAATGAAAATGACATCCTAAGACCCTCATTGAACGGGGATTGCCTCCGTTTCTCTTTACACATTGTGACGTAAGCTTTTATCATACATATGCTTAAAGACTCACATATTGTTTCATGTCCTTCAGATGACCCTAGATTACACGACCTAACCTTTCCAATTGCCTTATTTAGTCAAATATGGGCGATTTTAATTTTTTTGCTGATTAAAAGTTTCAGAAAATTGGTCAAATAAAAAAGTAAATGACATAAAAACAGTAATTCACATATTGTGCGTGTGTAATTTTGATTGATAGATTGAAGCGGCAGATTTTGTCTTAAACGTACGTCAAACTTTTTTTGATTAAATGTTTTATCCCAGCCTAACTGCCAGCCTTATACAGTAAAGTATATAACGAGGTTGCGCCCTGCGTTCACACGGTGTCTTCAGCCGTCCTCAGCCACAGTTCGCTGCGAGGTGCTCAGGTATGCCTGTGTCGTGCGCAATAAGAAGATGCTGGACGCACGACGTAAGCTGCAAGGGTCTTCGCTCGGCCCGTGTCCGATCTCAGCTGTTGCCACTGGGGTCTAGATATTAACTAAATCTAGACCTCTATTTTCAACCAATTCTCTGCTTAACTTAAACAGTCCATCAATACGCAGCAGAGAGAGAGAGAGCACGTTCATTTCTGCTATCTGAACGACTTCTAAGTACATTATGCGACGCCAGATGGCTCCTGTTAGAAATATGGCCCTTCATTGCATTGGGTGACCCTTCTGAAGAGTGTGTTGTATCAAAAGAAGAATAAAGATATCGTCAGAGAAAATACAATAAAACATTGCAAATAATGTATTTACTAATACTGCTCAGAGATAACGTCAAAACTATGTTGCTTATATACATAACATGTATTTCCTTTATTACGAATTAAAATCATAAATTTGAATAGAAAAAAAAAATAGAATCGTTTGTCTCAAGATAACAAAAGTTAGAAAAGATAGTATTATTAAACATGTAGAACCAAGTGCTGTATATTTCTCAGAAATTTCACTGGTTGGAAATTTTAATCATAACAACTAAAGAGTTGTTCTTTGTTAGAATCAATGGGAAAAAAATAGGAAAGGTGATTCTAGGGCTGCTGTTTGTATATTCTACGTATGACCTATAGTTCAACCTAGGGACATGACTTACGTGAGAATTAGTAAGATGGTGGAAGAGCTTTACCCTATCGTATTTATTTGGTTGTGATAGAATGTTCAAGTAACATGACAACAACCGGCAAGTCTGATCAGTTGAAGAATTTATATTTACCAACCGCGTGCATGTTGGGGAAAGAGGGAGAGAAGGGGTTGAGAGAGAGCGAATCAACATTTGGTCTCCAATTGTGACCCCCTATAACTTGAAACCATTGGCACAGTAAATGTACGTGTGCCTTTTTGACTATATGACTTTTTCTTATTGGATGCATATGACCTAGCTCAAATAAAGCAGGTGTCTGATATATAGAAAATTAAGAGGTTTTATCAAGCGCTTAGTTTATCGAGGTCAAGAACTGTGATAATATACCTACATATATCTAGCTGTAATTTTCACCTAAGACGCTAAAACAAAAACAGCAGTAAACTACCATGCAATCATAAGGCAATGCTGGGTTTGCTGAGTTTTGATCGATCTTTCCTTTCTGTGTGATGCCCCTATTTTACACAGACCGCGAATCCCACGAATCGCCGGGAATTGACAAATTTCAGGATTCGTGGTTGAATGGTAATCAGTTCGTGAAGTTCTTAACAGATTCGTATATATTCGTAGTCAGTTCTTGCAATTATTGACCAACAGGAGTTAGTGGCAAAAAATTGATACCCCTTTATCACACAGACCACGAATTCCACGAATCGCCAGGAATTGACAAATTTCAGGATTCGTGGTTGAATTGTAATCAGTTTGTGAAGTTTTTAACAGATTCGTAGATAATCGTATTCAGTTCTTGCTATTCTTGATCAATCGGGAATTCGTGGCAAAAATTTTGAGCTGTTCAAAATTTTGGCCACGAACTCCCGATTCCAAAAAAATGGAAGTGAATTCTTGACAATATTCGTGCGATTCCAGCCAAATGCCTCGAATATTCGTAATGCAAGGCTGACACTTGCACGACTTTTGGCCCCGATTTTGTCGTGGCAAGTCGTGCCATTTTGGGGCAAGAAGTGGGAGGCTCCCGCACTGTTCCCGACTAGTTCACACATAGTTCACGACGAGTTTACGACGAGCTAACGAATAGTTTACGAATGCGTGTCCACATAGACACGAACTTGCACGACAAGTTCACGCATAGTTTGCGCATAGCTTACGTACTTCCCGCATTGGCACGACGAGTTTGCACAATTCGGACGGTGTCGTGCCGACTTGGACACGCAATATACGTGAGCTGTTCGTGAACTATTCATGGCAGTTCGTAACAGTTGTGACATGGCGCGCACTGTCATGCACTGGCACGCATTCTCCCGCATCGTCCCGACGAGTTCACGAACAGTTTGACCATAGTTCACGACCCGGTCGCGAAATTTTGTCGTGACCAAAATTTTGAACATTTTAAAATTTTCGTCCCGACATGGCACTCAGTCACGACGGATTTACGCACACTTCACGGCAGTTTACGACTAGTTCGCGCACTGGCACGACTCGAGTCGTGCCAATGCGTGCCACAGAATCGTGCAAGTGTCAGTCTTGCTTAACACTATCGCACCTGTATCGTAACTGAATCGTAGAGCGTGTCGAATTAGGCCAAAAATTTTGCAAAATCTCACGAATCCTCACGAATCCTGAAATTTGTCAATTCGTGGGATTCGTGGTCTGTGTGAAAGAGGGGCGTGAAGTGCCAAACCATGGATTGCTCCCTTTTATCTTTTTTGCTTTATTGGTTTGTGGCATGAATAAGCGGTGGAACGAATGTAGTCTGATACATGTCAGTGCTCAATCAGTTTGTACAACATGTATGTCTCTTGCATTGCCATTGTACAAACTAAGGCATGCTGCATGTAATGGAACTCTTATCACCCTCTCTCTTGGCAAGAGATTGTTATGTACCATGAAAACTCCCACAAATAATCTGTCTTTATACCCCGTTTCCTCCGAATCCAACCGGGTATCCTGCACCCAAACCACTCTTTTAAAAGGTTTTATAGAAAAATTGGAGTGATCTTTCACTGTTGTTGGAAGAACTTATCATGATATTCTTTGCAAGAAATGGGTCCGTACATGTGCACAAAAAGGAATACAATGCCTCAAGTGCCGTGTTGTCTTGTTCACGGGGCATCAGAACAGTATATAAACTTTTTATTATAATTTTCATTTTTAAGCGCTGATAAGACGAGAAGAGGTACAACAGGGGCGCTGCCAAAGGTACAACAGACTTCATGTCCTCATGTGTTTAAACAAGAAAACCTATGACCCATTTATCGCAGAAAACTGTCGGATTATATTGCCCTGCGCAAATGCTGCATTTCCGCGGTTGCACCAAGACGGTGAGCCTGCCATAGCAACGTAGCTGCCGATACACTGAAATTGTTTGCGTTTTTTCCTCAAGATGTCCCTAAGAAAAAGAATAGCTGTTGTGGGCGGTGGGGCCAGCGGACTGACCGCAATAAAATGCTGTTTAGACGAAGATTTGGATCCGGTGTGTTTCGAGAGATCTGACCAGCTGGGAGGCTTATGGCTTTTCAGGTACATTAACTTACTTTTCTCAACTGTTGACATGAAATTCAACAAAACCTACTTTAAAATGAAATTAAAAAAAAACATCGAGGTCAAAATTTAACTTCATCAATAATTTAGATATATCAGTAGAAAGTTAAACAAATATAAAGAAAACATATTTGCGGACACGAAAGACCGCTCGCTTTAATGGATTTCCATTGCAATAATATGTTTTCACCTAATATAAGTTTAAGTATGAAATCTCTCTTTTTAAACTATTCGCTCCTTATTAATATTACAGACCTGGGGGCAAGCAGGATGGGGAGGGGACAGTCATGCGGTCCACCGTTATCGACACCAGCAAGGAAATGATGTGTTGGAGTGACTTCCCCGTCCCTGATGACCATCCAAACTTCATGCACAACACCTACGTCCTCAAGTACTTTCATATGTACGCCGAGACGTTCGGCTTGCTGAAGTACATCAAGTTTCGCCATGCAATCATAAAGGTAAAACCGGCCAGAGACTTCCAGACCAGCGGGCAGTGGGAAGTCCAGTACAAGGATCTAGAGAAGGATCAAGAGTATACGGAGATCTTTGATGCCGTGTTCTGCTGTACTGGCCATCATACAACCAAAAACCAGCCAAAGTTCCCCGGCCAGGAAAAATTTCAGGGGAAAATTGTCCACTCTCACGATTACAGGTAATGTGAAGGCAGTGCTACCACCTTTTTTTCTAAATATCCGTTCCGTACGCCAACTTTTGTATCGATGTATAGATTTTTATATTTAGAAAATTAACTTAAAGGGATAATAACTCTTCGTTCTGGCAAAATAAAATAAAAAATGAATTTCCCTGGAATAAACAACAATTTTCCTATACTTGCCAATGGTAAATGAATCCATTTTCACATTCAAAGTTTGTCCTTGTTTTTTTAAAGATAGTTTGTTTGTTATAATCTCTTAAGAGACTTTAACAGAGTATAGCCATCAATGGAGGTTACGTTGTCTAAAGACAAGCTCATATATCAGAATAATAGCTGTAACTGCCGTTTTTGTGGTAAAACAGAATATATTATATTTCTATGAGTTGTTCACAATGTTTTTATGTGAAATATAGATCTCATGCGAAGAGTAATTATCCTTTTAAATTACCTTAATAGAAAATTGATTAATCGCTTGAAGATTTTATCGTAAAGTGCGAATTTGTCCAGTGGATTGAAATTGTGGATAATTTTTATACATGCACGTATCCATTTTTCATATTGATCATAAAATATCTACTGTCCTATCTACCTTCTCTCTCTCTCTCTCTCTCTAACGCAAATACAAATTGTTTTGCTTGTGCAGTGATGAGAGAGGCTATGAAGGCAAGCGAGTTGTCGTAGTGGGCGTTGGAAATTCTGGTAATGACGTAGCATCTGAATTGGGAAAAGTCGCAGACAAGGTATTCTTTGAATTGTGATATATGCACGAGGAAATGTACGAGGATATTTCCAAGAAAAATGGGCATCTGTAACATACATGTAACTCCCGCGGGAACTCTCGCTGAATGCAAATAGATTAACGCACGTTTTCTGGTTTCCAACGTACTCGTACAACCACCAGCTTTTAAATTTTTTCTACTCAGGGCCAGGAGGATGCATGTTAATCTGATTGCATTCAGCGAGAGTCCCTGCGGAATTGGATCGAGCGGCCAATGTAGAATGATAGTTTCATTGTGAATGAGGCCTAAGTTTGGCAGATCGGATACACAAGAAACATCACACTTGGCAGCATAGCAGTATACAATATGTGACACAGTAGTTCTAGTGTCCAACGCGCAGTAAACAATATTTATATATTTAATAGAAACCTTTGCTGAAAATGAGCAGAATTAATACGAATGTATGGAAAGAGTTGAAAAATAACAGGTTTCAGATCAGTTTACATTGCCTTCACGAAAATAGTCTGGCTTGCATTCTCTACCCCCCCCCCCCCCCAAGGTCACAGAGAGTACAGGTATACTACCGAGACATGGGCAAAATAATCATTTAATGGTGCATTTATAATACACGCGATTCCAGTAGGGGGCCTAAACTCCGCTGAAAATGCCAAACAGTAACTTTTACGCAGTAACTCCAATCATTCAAAAGAAGGGTCTAAGAGGGATGTTAAATTTACGAGGTCTTGCGGTTAGTAGGTCTGCAATTTATCTTAGTTAGAAGTGGACATTTAAGTCTGTACCATGGGTACGTTCTTTTAGCTAGGCCTCATTCAACATCTTTATTATAAAGTTACCATAATGCTTTCATCAACCAAATGTCATCTAAACTCGGAGTTATTACTATTCAAGTATTTTAGTGTCTGACAATGCACCGTTAGGGTATGAATCTAGAAACTATTTATTAAAGAACTATCTTAATTTCATATAAGGTAACAGAGCTGATGAATTACACTTTACGTGACATAACTTTTACCTTCAATATATTGCCATCAGCCAATGTTGTAAAGATGCTGACCACACTTGCAGTGAGATTATTCGTAACACGCACTCGCGCGCGCGCACACACACACACCTTTAAAATAGATCATGTTCTTCACTATGATTCCAGGTATTTTTCTCGACTCGGCGCGGGATGTGGGTGATGAGCCTTGCAGACAAAGATGGCCTCCCCTGGGATATCGTACAAACTCGCCGCCTGACCAACTGGCTGAAGAGTTGGCTCCCGTTTAGTTGGAGGTCAGTTTACATGTAGAAGTCCTATTACAGGGCACTTAATTAATAATAGGGGCTTTTTATTTAGTTTTTAAAAAAAGAAATTAAAGATATTGACCTGCAATGCTGACGAACTATTTGAAACAAATAAATGACAGTGAAATATTTCAGAAACAATTCTTGTTCGGTTAAAAAGATTGAATTTTTATATATCAAATTCTTTGTTTTTCCAAAACAGATGCACCATGGTAGAAAACGACATCAATAAACGCTTTAATCACGAGCTATTCGGCCTGAAACCGAAACACCGCATCTTCAGCCAGCATCTGACGGTAAACGACACGCTTCCAGTTCGCATACTATGTGGAAAGGTCGTCATGAAAACGAATATCGCAGGTTTTACTAAAACCGGCGTCAAATTCGACGACGGAACGGTGGAGGACGACATCGACCTCGTGATTCTGGCAACGGGCTACAACTATGGTTTTCCTTATGTCGATGAATCCGTCATCAAAATTGAGAAAAACGTCATTAATTTGTACGAGTACGTCTGGCCGTTGACCATTACCCATCCCACCATCGCTTTCATTGGGTGCATCCAGCCGGACGGTTCTCTTTTCCCATGTGCGGAACTTCAGTGTCGTTGGGCTACACGGATGTTCAAGGTACTGCTTATGTGAATTTTAAAATTTTAGTTATAAAAAGTGTTCGATTTTCTGATATAAGCCGTTTATCAAGATGTTCAATTCAAAGTAGTAATTTTTTCATTGCGAACGGGGCTAATAGCCCCCAAGAGCATCACTAAGATATTATAATGAATCAGGCTTTCCTATCCGAAATGGTCGATCTGCTTCTGTTTTTTTTTTTTTTTTTTTTTTTTTTTTCTGACAAGGGTCTGTGCAAACTCCCCAGTAAGGACGCCATGTTGGCAGACATGCAAAGAAAGCATGACGTCATGGCGAAACGTTACGTCCAGACCCAACGTCACACTATCGAGGTGGACTGGATTCTCTACATGGACGAACTTGCTAGACACGTTGGTTGCAAACCAAACTTAGGTGAGTCGGCGTTATTTTTTATTTATTTTAATTTTTAATGTGTGTCTGTATGCGTGCCATAGACTCACTCGACTTATAGTATGTACCAGTACCTTGTGTCCTCCGTAAGCCTGAACGGGTGACGTTTGTGTCACATGTTCGATTACCTTTATTTCCATTAAGTAACATCCTGTTGAAATTCAGTAAAACCAACATTTGCATTTGCTTTTATGAATGTCTCAATTGCATCAAACTGAAAACCGGAGTAGGGCTTTTCATCCATTATTTTAATAGCCATTTATGCGTCTGTTACCTTATATGCAATCACAAGATCTTAACCAGTCCTAACCTTGCCTTGGCAGAGGTCTACTGTACATATGATAGTTGATACAGCAGTTTGCAGCAAAACTTTTTTAAAGTTAAAACTTTATCTGTCTTTACCATTCCAATATGGTCCCCACAATACCCACTTATATTACATGTTACAGGACTGCAGTTAAAAGGCGTATAAGACGTGTTGTTTTCTATTTCAGTGAAACTGTTCCTAACCGATCCCGTCCTTGCTTGGGCAGTTCTCACAGGTCCGTGTGTGCCCTATCAGTATCGCTTGATGGGTCCCAAGCCGTGGGAGGGGGCTAGGGAGGCGATCCTCTCCACCATGGATAGAGTCAAAAAACCGCTGCAGACCAGAATACCTGCCGGGTGCTCAAAGAGGTCCGGTTTTGGCCGATTCTTCTCCATGATGGTCCTGTTGGTGGCTATAAGTGCGGTGATGGTAAAGCTGTACTATCCAGACAGGCTATCCTCCTTGGCCAACATGTTAAGTCGCTGAATGATTGATTTGCGGTAAAGCGATGCATTACTGATTAAAAAAGACCGTGGAAAAATATAACTTTTTACTACTCTTTTTGTGCTTAATCGCATTGGCCAAGCACTGTTACTATTTGGGAGTCATGTTTGCAAACTAAGTATAATATTCGGTTGTTACACGTTTCTCCATGTAATTTACATGTAACGGGTTTGTAAAATGAAAAAAGAAAAATATTTCCGTTGTTAAGAGGATAACAACTGTTCGTACGAGATTCATATTACTTTGTAAACAACTCAATGAAATGAAATGTAATAAATTCCTATTTACGACCAAAACAGCGGTTATCGCAATTACTCTGGAATCTGTGTTTGCCATCAGACCATTTGGATCTTCAAAGATGGCAGTACCTCTAAAACAAATTATTTAGAAATTATAACAAAAAAAAATTAGAAAAAAACATGGAATAGCCTTAAATGTCGGAATGGATTAGTTAACCATTCGTAAGTAAGAGAAAATCGCCGTTTACCCCAGGAAAATCCGCTTTTTGGCCAAAACGAACAGTTGGTTGTCTTCACAGTCAGTTTTTCTGTAAGTTTTTTCTTTTTGTAAAAAAAATGTATACGTGCATTGGAGTATAATGATATAACGGTAAACTATGTAGAATGCCTACACTCTGCCCGGTACAGTAGCCTGTAATAAGTGGAACAGCTGTCAAAATTCAGAACTCTGGATTGTACGTGTATATCCTTTTATCATATTTTATTTACATACATGATATGACATAGGGGTTTATCTTTTATCCATTTACTAGTATACAATACAGGGTATATCACTTAGAATAATAGGATATATTAGGATACATAATACTGGAAATGTATATATGACTTTTCCGAATACATTTATTTTTATGCACGTGTGTGTTATCGGTTGTTATTGAGTGCCACTTGTGACGGGTCCTTTCTCCAAGCACCATATGTAACAGCACTGTTGGGGAGACAAATTAATTACCAAAATACGTCTTTGGACGTGAGCATGAACAAATACCTTGACATTTGAAAGGAAGTTTAAATTACTATAAAACCATGATTTGTTTCCTCGCCTAAAACGTTGTACCCAGAGCACATACTCTATCCACATTGCCGGTGAAATTGTCCAACGATTTTAACGTTTTGTTTTTAACAAAATATTCTTATCTGTTTGCTTTGCGAACCCATTGGATTTGCCACGCCGGCTTCAATTCATCTATAAACAAATGTGGGAATTAAGGCCTGTCTCTGCTTATGGTAGGCCTAAAAGTGAGCATGTCGCTGAGTCATAGACCAGATATGACGCCATCCACAGGGACGTACAGGTAGACGCCGGGTTAACTACCAACACGTAATACACGCGTGCACGTTGATAAAAAAGAAAGCCAGCTGTTTTAACCCTGCGCTTTTCGTTTGTTACGCAACCTGTTCGTTGCAAATCACTTACCAAAACACCATTTGGCCTAATTTTGTGAGATAACATTAAAGGGATAATAACTCTTCGTATGATATCTATATTTCACGATAAAAACATTGTGAACACTCATAGAAATATATTCTGTTTTACCACAAAAACGGCAGTTATAGCTATTATTCTGATATCTGGGCTTGTCTTCAGATCACGTGACGTCCGTTGATGACTGTACTCTGTTATAATCTCTTAAGAGATTTTAACAAAAAAAAAAACAAACTTTTTAGAAAAATAACAGGGACTAACTTTGAATGTAAAAATGGATTAATAAACCATTGGTAAGTATGGGAAAATTGTTGTTTAATCCAGGAAAATTCTATTTTTGGCCAAAATGAAGAGTTATTATCCCTTTAAGATTTCATATGACTTGTTCATTAATTCCATGGCCTTAGATCTGAATATTTCCCCCAGTAATGACCCTTTGCACAATTACAAGTCAGCCGTACTAATTAAGACTTGAAAGACTGGACGCAGTTCCTTAACCAATTACCAATAATATATTTTATTTTATATTATATTTATAATTATTATTTTATTATTATTATTATATTTTATATTATATTTCACAAGTATTTATACTCTATTTTCCAAAGAATTTTCGATTCTCATGTTGCAAACTGCCATTCAATATTTCCTTATTAGGTAATTTCAGAGAGACTTGTTTTCAATAAAAAATATTCAAAATATTATTTGAATTACTCGTGCTTGGACCTTGTCTATCTCGAGTTTGCATGCGTTTTACGCGTGTTAGAAACTTGCAAATCTATTGAAAAATTAACCAATCAAATCAAACTACATGTGACTTTGAAATGTTCTATCTTTTCTTACAACGAGAACAATTTCTACGCTTATTGACTCTTAAAGAAATTTAACTAGCACTCAATAACTCTTTATCATTTTACACATTTGATTCCGTTTTAATTGCTATCTGTCATTATTGAAAGTGTAACTCATTTACTTTACAACAATGATTATATAAATGAATCAAATAAACAAGAATTAGTTAAACATTGAAAGAGAGAAAGGTGAACAGAGAGACAGTCAGAGAGGTTTCATGTGTGAGTAGGTACTTTGAATTGCAGCAGTTTAAGCAATTTGCAAGACTCGTGTACTTTATTTCAACACAAGCAAGGAGATGATGAGCTGGAGCGACTTCTCCATGCCCAAAGAATATCCCAACTTCATGCACAACAACTACGTCCTTAAATACTTCCAGCTATATGCAGAGAAGTTTGGTCTGAAAAAATACATCAAGTTTAACAACACGATCATCAAGATTACTCCCACCAAGGATTTTGAGAGCACGAGGCAGTTGGAGGTCCGGTACAAGAACCTGAGAGGGGACAAAGAGTACACGGAGATCTTTGGTGCTGCGATGTGTTGCACTGGCCATCATCCCAGCAGGCAAAGGATCAACGTTGAAAACAGGTTGATACGTTGAATTGCCGTTGATCTACCTTAATTCAACGTAAAATCAACGTTGACCAGCCACGTCAAAACACCGTCATAGTGTGACGTTGACTCAACGTTGTATTTTGGTCATTGACACAACCTTGCAGACGTGGATTGTAATTTAAAATATTAATTATTGAAAACGTGATACTTTGTTGAAATAATTATATATATATATATATATTAACCTTAACCTTGGAAATTTTAACTTAAAGGCCATACATTGTACATATATTTATTTATTTATACATACATTTAGCCATCAAATATGTCCTACTGCTAAACACATGCAGGCTAAAAGGGTGTACCATGCCTAGGTGCAAAACATGCTTAGGAGCTAAATGCGTTGAAAAAATCAGACAAAGCAGGCACTTGGACATTATAATTTTGCACCTGTGTTTTGTACCAAAAATAAAAACATTTCAGGTCATTTTAATGTCTTTTCATGCAAGAATGTTGTCTAACAGAGCAGAAAAAGAGAGCACGTTCATTTTTGCTATGTGAACGACTTGTGGGTACATGCGACGCCAAATGGCTCCTGTTAGAAATATGACCCTTCATTGCATTTGGTGAGCCCTCTGGGGAGTGTGTTGTACAAAAAGAAGAATAGAGAAAATACAGTAAAACATGGCATGATCGTATTTACTAAAACTGCTCAGAGATAACGCCAAAACTACGTTGCTTATATACATAACACATATTTCCTTTGTCACGAATTAACTTTATAAATTTGAATAGAAAAAAATAGAATCGTTTGTGTCAAGATAACAAAAGTTAGAAAAGATAGTATTATTAAACGTGTAGAACCAAATGCTATATATTTATCAGAAAGTACTTGCTTTTCACTGGTTGGAAATTTTTATCATAACAACTTAAAAGTTGTTCGTTGTTAAAATCAATTAAATAGTTCAACCTAGGAACATGAATAACGTGAGAATTAGTAAGATGGTGAAAGAGCTTTACCGCATCATATTTATTTGGTTGTGATAAAATGTTCAAGTAACATGACAACGACCGGCAAGTCTGATTAGTTGAAGAATTTATATTTTCCAACCGCGTGCATGTTGGGGAAACGTGGGAGAGAAGGGGTTGAGAGAGAGTGAATCAATATTCGGTCTCTAATTCTGACCCCCGATAACTTAAAACTATTGGCACAGTCATTGTACATGTAGCTTTTTGATTATATGACTCTCTCTTATTGGATGCATATGACCTCGCGCAAATAAAACAGGTGTCTGATATATAGAGAATTAACAGGTTTTATCAAGCGCTTTAGTTTATCGAGGTCAGGAACTGTGACAATATACCTACATATATCTAGCGGTATTTTTCACCTAAGACGCTAAAACAAAAACAGTAGTAAACTACCATGCAATCATAAGGCAATGCTGGGTTTGCTGAGTTTTGATCGATCTTTCCTTTCTGTGTGAAGCACCAAACCATGGGTTGCTCCCTGTCTTCATTTGTGCTTTATTGGTGTGTGGCATGAATATAAGCGGTGGAACCAATGTAGTCTTATACATGCCAGTGCTCAGTCAGTTTGTGTCTCTTACGTTGTATAAACTATGTCATGCTACATGTAAAAGAACTCTGATCACCCTCTCTCTTGTATCACGAAAATTCCCAAAAATAATCTGTGCCTTTTTATCCCCGTTTCCTCCAAATCCAACCGGGTATCCTGCACCCAAACCACTCTTTTAAGAGGTTTTATAGAAAACTTGGAGTGATCTTTCACTGTTGTTGGAAGAACTATCATATAATTCTTTGCTAGAATTGGGTCCGTTCATGTACACAAAAAGGAATACGGTGCCTTAAGTGTCTAGTTGTCTTGTTCACGGGGCATCAGAACAGTATATAAACTTTTTATTATATTTTTCATTTTCAAGCGCTGATAAGACGAGAAGAGGTACAACAGATTGCACATCCTCATGTGTTTAAACAAGAGAACCGATGACCTATTTATCGCAGAAAACTGCCGGGTTAAGTTACCCTGGGCAAATGCTGCATTTCCGAGGTTGTATCGAGACGGTGAGCTTGCCATAGCAACGTAGCTGCCCATACACTGAAATTATTCGTGTTTCTTTCCAAAGATGCCTGGCAGAAAAAGAATAGCTGTTGTGGGCGGTGGGGGCTGCGGACTGACCGCAATAAAATGCTGTTTAGACGAAGATTTGGATCCAGTGTGTTTCGAGAGATCTGACCAGCTGGGAGGCTTATGGCTTTTCAGGTACATTAACTTACTTTTCTCAACTGTTAATATGAAATTAACAAAACATATTTTAAGATTAAATAAAAAAACATCAAGGCAAAAACTTAATTTCACAAAATTAAGATATATCAGCAGAAAATTAAGCAAAAATAAATTAGAAAACAGATATGCGGACATGAAAGACCGCTCGCTCGAATGGATTCCCTTTGCAATATGCTTTCACCAAAATATAAGTTTAAGAATAAAATCTCTCTTTTTAATCTATTCGCCCCTTATTTATATTACAGACCTGGGGGCAAGCAGGATGGGGAGGGGACAGTCATGCGGTCCACCGTTATCGACACCAGCAAGGAAATGATGTGTTGGAGTGACTTCCCCGTCCCTGATGACTACCCAAACTTCATGCACAACACCTACGTCCTCAAGTACTTTCGAATGTACGCCGAGACGTTCGGCTTGCTGAAGTATATTAAGTTTCGCCACGCAATCATAAAGATAAAACCGGCCAGGGACTTCCAGACCAGCGGGCAGTGGGAGGTCCAGTACAAGGATCTAGAGAAGGATCAAGAGTATACAGAGATCTTTGATGCAGTGTTCTGCTGTACTGGCCACCATACAACCAAAAACCAGCCAAAGTTCCCCGGCCAGGAAAAATTTCAGGGGAAAATTGTCCACTCTCACGATTACAGGTAATGTGAAGGCTGTGCTACCGCTTCTCTAAATATCAGTTCCACTTTCTCAACTGTTATATGGATGTATATGTTTTTATATTAGAAGATTAATACCTTGATAGAAAATTGCATAATCACTGGAATATTTTATCATAAAATGTGAATTCGTCCAGTGGATTGAAATTGTGGATAATTTTAATACATGCATGTATTCATTTTTCATTATGATCATAATATCTCTACTCTCTTGTTTACCTGCTGTCTCTCTGTCTCTGTCTCTTTCTAACACAAAGACATTTTTTTACTTGTGCAGTGACGAGAGAGGCTATGAAGGCAAGCGAGTTGTCGTCGTGGGTGTTGGAAACTCTGGTAATGACGTAGCATCTGAATTGGGAAAAGTCGCAGACAAGGTATTCTTTGAATTGCGATATGTTGCGAGGAGAGCCGAATATTGGCTCTCCTCGTTCATTTGGAAATTCACACTGATGCATGTATTTTCAAGAAAAATGGGCATCTGTAATATAATAATGGTTACCATTCTTCGCATATTCAACTCCGCGGGAACTCTCTGATTGCAAACAACATACTCGTACAAGAACCAGCTTTTTATGTTTTCTACTCAGCGACAGTTAATCTGATTGCATTCAGCGAGAGTCCCTGCGGAATTGGATCGAGCGGCCTATGTAGAATGATAGTTTCATTGTGAATGAGGCCTAAGTTTGGTAGATCGGAAACACAAGAAACATCATAGTTGGCAGCATAGCAGTATACAATATGTGACACAGTACAGTAATTCTAGTGGCCAAGGTGCAATTAACAATATTAATATATATTTAATAGAAACCTGTACTGAAAATTATTGGCAGAATTAATACCAGTGTATGAACAGAGTTGAAAAAGAACAGGTTTCAGATCAGTTTACATTGCCGTCACGAAAATAGTCTGGCTTGCATTCTTTACCCCCCAAGGTCACAGAGAGTATACTACTGAGACGTGGGCAAAAAACCATTTGATGGTGCACTTATAATACACGCGATTCCAGTAGGGGACCTAAACTATGCTGAAAATGCCAAACAGTAACTTTTAGTAACTCCAAACATTCAAAAGAGCGTCTAAAGGTTCAACTATGGTAAATGCAAAGACTATGCTAACAAAGGAAATCAGAGCTGTGACTGAAGGGTGAAAAAAGTTCTGATTTACCAGTAACTACCAAACGTGCCTCATATTGCAGTCTCCCGGTCCAATGCAATTTACCCCTTGTACCTTGAGCCATCGCTTACTTTGTTGAACTTACGAGGTCTTGCAATTAGTAGGTCTGCAATAAATCTTTGTTAGAGGTAGACATTTAATTCTTAGGCCTTCCACATCTTTATTATAAAGTTACAATAATGCTTTCATCAACCAAATGTCATCTAAACTCGGAGTTATTACTATTTAAGTATTTTAGTGTGTACCGATGCACCACTAAGGTACAATTGTGAATCTATAACATTTTTAGACGAACTATTATTTAATTTTTATATTGGTAACAGGGCTGATGAATTAAACTTTACGTGACGTAACTTTTACCTCCAACGTGCGTATCTGCTGTCATCAACTTATGTTGTTAAGGTAGCAAGACAATTAGTAACACACACACACACCTCTATAATAGATCATGTTCTTCACTATGATTCCAGGTATTTTTCTCGACTCGGCGCGGGATGTGGGTGATGAACCTTGCAGACAAAGATGGCCTCCCCTGGGACATCGTACAAACTCGCCGCCTGACCAGCTGGCTAGAGAGCTGGCTCCCGTTCAGTTGGAGGTCAGTTTTAGATGTAGAAGTCTGATACGTTTTACAGTTCACATAATTAATAATAGGGGCTTTTTGGTTTTGTTTTTTCAGGGACTTAAACTGGTTTTTAACGAAGTTGGCATTCAGTTTTGCCGAACTATTTTACACGGATAATGACAGTGAAATTTTTCAGATCTAGAAACAATTTTTCAAAATTTGTTTAAAAATGTAGAATTCTATAATTAAAGCACATTCTTTGTTTTTCAAAACAGATGCACCATGGTGGAAAACGACATCAACAAACGCTTTAATCACGAGCTATTCGGCCTGAAGCCGAAACACCGCGTCTTCAGCCAGCATCTGACGGCAAACGACACGCTCCCGGTTCGCATCCTATGTGGAAAGGTCGTCATGAAACCGAACATCGCAGGTTTTACTAAAACCGGCGTCAAATTCGACGATGGGACGGTGGAGGACGACATCGACCTCGTGGTTCTTGCAACGGGCTACAACTATGGTTTTCCTTATGTCGATGAATCCGTCATCAAAATTGAGAAAAACGTCATTAATTTGTACGAGTACATCTGGCCGTTGACCACTACCCATCCCACCATCGCTTTTATTGGATGCATCCAGCCGCTCGGTGCCATTTTTCCATGTGCAGAACTTCAGTGCCGTTGGGCGACACGGATGTTTAAGGTACTGATCATGTGAATGTTATTATTAAAGTGTTCGATCTTCTGATATCATTTCTCAGCCGTTTATCAACATGTTTGATTCAAAATAATAATTTGTTAATGCGAACGAAGCTAATAGCCCCTTAAAACATCACTTAGATATTATGGTCGATCTGCATCTATTTTTACTAACCAGGGACTGTGCAAACTCCCCAGTAAGGACGCCATGTTGGCAGATATGCAAAGGAAGCGTGACGCCATGGCGCAACGTTACGTCCAGACCCAACGTCACACTATCCAGGTGGACTGGATTCCCTACATGGACGAACTCGCTAGACACGTTGGTTGCAAACCAAACTTACGTGAGTCGGCGTTATTTTTTATTCATTTTTATTTTTAATGTGTGCCTGTATGCGTGTCATTGTCTCTCTCGTCTTTTAGTATGGAAACATAATCCTACATGTACGAGTACCTTGCGTCCTCCGTAGGCCTGAAAGGGTAATGTGTGAGTTACATAACCTTTGCAAAATGTTCGATTTACCTTTATTTCATATAATCAACATTTTGCTGAAATTTAGTAAAACTACCATTCGCATTTGATTGTATGAATGTCTGAATTGCATGAAACTGAAAACCGCAGTAGGGGTTTTCATCCATTATTGTAATAGTCGGCTATGTGACTGTTGCGTGTTATCTATGCAATCACAAGGTCTTGGCGGAGGTCTTCTGTACATATGATACAGCAGTTGGCAGTAAAACTTTTAATTTTATCTGTATTTACCATTCCAATATGGTCCCCACAATACCCTCTTATATTATATGTTACAGGACTGCAGTAAAAAAGTGAGTAATCGACGTGCTGTTTTCTATTTCAGTGAAACTGTTCTTAACCGACCCCGTCCTGGCTTGGGCAGTTCTCACAGGTCCGTGTGTGCCCTATCAGTACCGCCTGATGGGTCCCAAGCCGTGGAAGGGCGCTAGAGAGGCGATCCTCTCCACCATGGATAGAGTCATGAAACCGCTGCAGACCAGAAAACCTGCCGGGTGCTCAAAGAGGTCCGGTTTTGGTCGATTCTTCTCCATGATGGTCCTGTTGGTGGCTATAAGTGCGGTGATGGTAAAGCTGTACTATCCAGACAGGCTATCCTCCTTAGTCAACATGTTTAGCCGCTGAATGATTGATTGCGGTAAAACGATGCATTACTGATTAAGAAGGACCGTTGTAATGAAAAAAGAAACTTTTTTACTACTCTTTTTGTGCCTACACCTACAACAGCATTGACCAAACACTGCCATATGCCACTATTTTGGGACGCACGTTTGCAAACTAGGTCTAATATTCTGTTGTTACATGTTTTTTTACATGTTATCTACATGTGACGGATTTGTAAAAGGAAAAAGTTTTACGTCGTTAAAAGGATAGCAACTGTTCGTATGAGATTCATATTTCACAACAAATACATTATAAACAACTCATATATGATATGACATTAACAGCCTTACGGCTTGATTTTTATCCATTTACTACTATACAATATATCACGTAGAATAATAGTTGTATATTAGGATGCATAATATTGAAAATGTGTATGACTTTTCCTAATACATTTATTTATGCACGTGTGTGCTATCGGTTATTATTGAGTGCCACTGGTGACAGGGCCTTTCCCCAAGCATTTTATATTGCACCATATGTAACAGCACTGTGTGGGAGATAAATTAATTACCAAAGTACGTCCTTGGACGTGAGCATGAACAAATGCCTCGACATTTGAGAGAAAGTTTAAATTACTATAAAACCATGCTTCCTCGCCTAAAACGTTGTACCCAGAGCACAAACTCTATCCACATTGCCTGTGAAATGCCGAATAATTTACACTTTTTTTTTTCAACGAAATATTCTAATCTGTTTGCTTTGGGTCTCCATTGGGTTTACCACTCTTAGTTCAATTCCTTTATAAACACATGTGGGAATTAAAGTCTCTCTGCTTATGATAAATGTCAGCATGTCGCTGAGTCATAGACCGTGCAGATACGAGGACTTTCTACAGGGACACTGGCACCGGGTTAACTACAAACACGTTATACACGCGTGCACGTTGATAAAAAGGACAGCCAGTTGTTTTTACCCTGAGCTTCACGTTTGTTACGTGTAGGCAACCTGTACGCTGCAAGTCACTTACCAAATCACTATTTGGCCTAATTCTGTGCGATTACATTTAGATTTCATTTGACTTGTTCATTAATTCCATTGCCATGGATCTGAATATTTCCCTCCAGTAATGAACCATAGCCTTTGCACAATCACAGGTAAGCCGACTTAATCAAGACTTGGAAGACCGGACGCAGCTTCTTAACCAATCGCCAATGAAATGTTTTCCGTAGGCTCGAAGGCAGCATCCCGAGTTTGACAGATTACTAGAATATGCTTGCTGCCTTCTTCAGGGACCCCCTCCCCAACCCCCCCCCCCCCAAAAAAAAAAAAAAAAAAAGAATTATTTTATTAAGAGAATAAAATAAAATAATTAAAGAAATGACATTGAAAAATAAAAATAAAAAATTAAATTTAAAAAATGCCCTTTCTTGTATCGAAGAAACAGGACAAACGTATGATAAATAAAGGTGTTAGTTGCCCATTGTATCTGAACCTCGGTGGAAGTAGGACATTTGTCCTCTATAAGATAAGGAGTCATCTCAAACATTCACATGGCTTCTGCAATTTAAGTTATTTTAAGGCTGATTGGTAGTTAGATGGATACTTCATCTTGCAAGTATCTAGTAAGATGTGACAGTTTACTCTTAGAGTAAGCCATGGCTGTCACACTATTGGTAGAAACCTTCTGAAAGAATCAAGTGGCGGCCACTGGACCAACCAAGGCTCTTTTGTGATATTGAACGCCAATTCAAGTAAATCAAACAAGAAATAGATAGCATTTTAGGCAGCTGTACTTGAACAGAGTCGTTATAACGCAAAATTAAGTTAATTTTTTAAATGATGGTACCCTTTTCCTCATTGCAAACCTTACTGTCAATGGTGAAGGTTCTGCAGGGTATTTATCACCTAGTTCAACAAAGTGCATGAAACAAGAATCATGCCCCCCTCCGCAAAAGAAATAACCCGATAAACGAATAAATAATTGAATAAGAAAAGAGATTTAACAAATGGATTTTTTTTAAAACAAAGAAAAGCATCTTATTAATAGGTACAATGTATGGTAAAAAACACAAAAGACAAATTGTGACAGGAGACAAACCCCAGTGAACCTGTCGCGCCTGTGACCTCTTATTTCAAGATAACAGCTCGTGCAAGGTCATAGAGCGTAATGGAGCACTTATATCACTGAGACTGTTTATCTACCAGAGAAAAAACTTTCGCAACACACGCAAACCTGACCACACCTCGTGTCCGCTGCACCCTACGAACATCTTCAGGAACTTAGGCTACACCACCACGTGTCTGCGGTGCCAGTATTTAACACCTGAAGGAACATCGACAAAAATCAGCACCATCGGCCTCTACTGTTCGCGTTTACATCACATCTACAAACTTCGCTAACTCCTTGAACACATTTTAAGATGTCGGGAAGAAAGCGGGTAGCTATTATAGGGGGTGGCTCAAGTGGACTGACAGCAATAAAGTGTTGTTTGGACGAGGATCTTGAGCCTGTGTGTTTCGAGAGGGCTGACCAGCTTGGGGGTTTGTGGTATTATAAGTATGTACATTTTGTATATTATGTTTAGTGTAAGACAACCAAGCCATTTACATATGTAGCCTACATATTCTTTGCTATATATCTTGTCAAAATATTATTTTATTTTAAGTTGCAATGATGATTATCAAAATGAATCAAATAAACAAGAATGAGTTGAACATTGAGAGAGAGAAAGAGGAACAGACAGTCAGTCAAAGATGTTTCATGTGTGAGTAGGTACTCTGAATTGCAGCAATTTCAGCATTTTGCAGGACTCGTGTCCTTTATTTCTGCCGCTGAGGGGCTTGTGAAAGATATACTACATATTTGTGTGTGAAAAATTGATGCCAAATCCATAATTGCAGTACTGGGGTGCATGTAAATAGATATTGACTTAATTGAACTGGAAGTAGCAATATCTTATACCTTCTACACAGACACACACATACACACAGCGTTATCACATATTCAAACCATCTCTATCGGATTTTAGGCCAGAGGGTAAACTTGATGGTGAGTCCACTGTCATGAAGTCCACCATCATCAACACAAGCAAGGAGATGATGAGCTGGAGCGACTTCCCCATGCCCAAAGAATATCCCAACTTCATGCACAACACCTACGTCCTTAAATACTTCCAGCTATACGCAGAGAGGTTTGGTCTGAAAAAATACATCAAGTTTAACCACGCGATCATCAAGATTACTCCCGCCAAGGATTTTGAGAGCACGGGGCAGTGGGAGGTCCGGTACAAGAACCTGAAAGAGGACAAAGAGTACACGGAGATCTTTGATGCTGCGTTGTGTTGCACTGGTCATCATGCCAACAAAAATGAACCGAAATTCCCCGGGCACGAAGAGTTTCAGGGAAAGATTTTGCACTCCCATGACTATAGGTAAAACTGTTATTTTGTCGTACAGATGGAATATGAAAAATTATTTAAAACGTTAATATGACTAGACTGTACATCTTTCTTTGGTAATGACTTGCAATGATAGCGTTATCATGCGTTTCATTCTTCAGTATAATTCCAAATTGGGGATCTTCTCTCGACTCTATCCCAGATTTGATTCAAAATATCAAAGATTAATTTACACAGTAAACTAATAAAAAGCACAAGAACTAATAAAAAAAAAAGAAAGATGTTTAAATCAAGTCAAAATTTATGTGAATTGATATCAATGATGGTTGGTTCCTATCCATGTCACAGCTAACTTCTTTGTCAGTGCAAGGAGTCTCTTGTCTATTTTGCAGATATACTGTATGTAAAACTTAAGAATTAACTTTTCTTCAGAGATCAACGAGGCTATGAAGACAAAAGGGCTGTAGTCGTTGGTGTTGGCAACTCAGGAAATGATGTAGCATCAGAGCTGGGGAAAGTGGCAGAAAAGGTAAAATACAGGGTGACAACCCCCCCCCCCCCCCTCCAAATAACTTTGCTGGATTTAAACTTCAGTACGTGCATGATCATTCTCCAAAGATTCAGTTATCTTGGTCGATTTGCATAAAAGTTATATTATTTTTAAAATATGCTTCAAATGGTCTACATGGTATTTGAGGCACACTTGCATAAATCGCGAAAATAATTGTCAATTTCTCAAACACATTCCTCCTTGGAATTTCCCTGATTGTTGCCATCAGTTCACCAATCATGCAAGGTTTGTTCTGGTACAAATTGTCTTTGAGATATCCCCACAGATAAAAATTTGGGGAGGTTCAAGTGAAGCGGTGCCCACTCATCATCACACTTTCTGCTGATCAGCCACTCCTGAAAATTTTATGAGTTCTGTTTTTTTGGGTCACCCTGTACATGTAGGTGAAGCAGATGAAATAATTTGGTAGTCTATGCCGCATAGTTCAGTCAGATCAAAATGACCTTGATGTGTCAGTTTACTTAAGCCTTTCTGTGTTTACCTAACCTCATTATGATAAATTAGCTGCGTAGACAAGTACTGATCTGATATCGGGGCAACGTGACAGTCGAACGTGGCCTGATGCCTTTTAAGATGCGTTCAAATCAGGACAGGTTACTCCTCAGGTTTTGGCAACAGAAGTGTTATGTAGCAACCGAATTGATTAAATGGATTATAAGGTTGTAATTACTTGTAAGCTGTAGTTACATGTAGATCCCCCTTCAAATTAGTGGTTTAGATGCGTGTTTCAGGAAAATTATAATCTAAAATATTCCCGGTAAGAAAAAACCTAAGGTTGCCTCTCCGTTAACTTATTGGGCAAGAAACACACACACACACACACACACACACACAGTTAATGTATCTCTGTTGTTCAAAGGAAAACACTGTGGTAAAATAAAAACTGTTGCAATTACTTTGAGGTTTGGCCCTAAAATGGCTTAGATTGCCTGGACTAAACTTGTTAAATAAACAAAATAAATTATTTTGCTGATAATCCTGCCGAAAAGACAGCACTCTGAGATGAAAAGGCAGTATGACGTGCATGGCACCATGGCGGGTTAGCTATACTGACTCAATTCAAGTTTGATCTGTTGCGTAGCTGGTAAAGGATAGAGATCAAAGACCATTCCCGCCTAAGCATCATTTTAAGAACCTTTAAATGAAGAGTAAGAAAGTGTTATCGACGAGGCAGACATTATGATAACGACCAGCAAAAGTTGTTGCAAAATCGATCACTGATCCGAAACTTTACCGGCTTTTTATGCAAAAGGTAATTTGCCGGGACCGACGAGTGCCTGCATTCGTATTCGCGCCTTTCCCATCACGTGACCAGGTCGTATCCGAGGGAAAGGTGACATGCCTCATCCGGGATTCGAACTCGTGACTACTCGTGACTCGTTACCATGGTGGATGATTGGTTTTATTTTTTTTAACAGCCTTGCACGCTACCGATTGCGCGGTGAGTGACCCGCCCACCCTCCGTGGATACGAGTTTCCTCTTATAGTAACCAAAGAAAATTTTTAGAAATGATTTCCAGCAACAAAAGATTGTGCTAGACGTTGTGGAACTCGAACCCGGGAAGGTGTCTTACTAGCTGCGTCCCAGTCAGCAAAGTTACCACGGAACCGAGGCAGCTTCGTTAGAAAGCTGTAAATCAAATGCAAACTTTCTGCCTTGTCATGAAGAGGGCCAGTTTGGATGCACATGTAAATGTCCGAAATTACAATCGATAGCCCTTGGGCCGTAAAAAATGAATTTCATCACGCACAACGCCTTTCCCCGAACATCGTATTATCATTGAACGTTTAAGTAGATGATGTACACGAGACTTTGGTTGAGAAGCCGACACGGAGCGTTCCGAGATAGATTCTTTTTTTTCTTTCTTACTATGACTTTGTTTTGAGCTGAGATTTAGTTTGGTATCACGTATGACGTTAAAAAGCACAGGGGAGCGATTTTAGCTTTAGCGAGGCCCTGAAAAGAGGGAATCATTAAAAAACGTTCAAATGTGTTAAAGCTGGTGCGTTTTCCTTTCAAGCAATTGCAACCATGTGAATTTTGACAAAGACAACATATTTGGCGACAATTCCGCCGAGAGGATACTTTC